CCTTTCCCACTGGAACCGGAATGCTTGCAGGGATGGGGCACCTACAAGCTCTTGGGGCAACCTGTGCCAGGGTTGCACCATGCTCTGAGTAAACAAGTCCTGATTAGATCCTATTTGTGTTTCGAAATACTCACCCACATCCTATTGTAACTGGCCCTGTTAAAAAATATGTCCCCCACTTTCTTCAAAGCCACTCTGAAGTCTTGGAAAGTGGCAATAAAGTCTCCCTGGGGCCTGTTCTTCACAAAACCGAGAAACTCCACCTCTCTCTGCATTTCCTGAGTCAGGGAGCTCTTCTGGCTGTTTCAGTCTCCCTCTTTTGTCATTTGGTGGGGTGTTCAATTTTATCTAATGGCAAAAGAATTGAAGTAGAGCAATGCAGGGTACAGAGACATGAAATGGTGGTGCAGGAACCCAAGGAAGCCAGTCCCAGCCTAGGGGTCAGAGATTTGGCCGTGGGCAGGAGGGGTCTGTGGGGGCTCACTGTGAGCCTCTGAGTGGCCCTGGTTTGCGCCCCCCAGCCCACCCTTAGAGGTTTCTGCCACGCAAACAGGCACAGCTGGGAGGGAGTTGTCCCAGCCCCATCTGCTGCCTGGCACGCTCAAGCAGACGGGAACTGTGCCAGGGTTACTACCGGGCTGTGTGGCAGAGAGGGAACTGCAGGGCCCAGTGCCACTGAGCTGGCCCTGCTGGGAAGGAAGGAGCCATCCAGCACACGAGGGGCAGGGCATGGAAAGGTAGACGCTGCTCTGTCTCCCTGTGGGAATCAGCACAGTGCCTGTCTTTCAAAGAGAGGGACCAGTGTGAGGCTTTAGAGATTCCTGAAAAGAAGAAACTCCAAGGACAGAAAGCACCATTTCTAAAGCACTGGCAGGGCAAAAATCCTAGCAAGATGAAGACACCTGGATAAATGGATGAGTAGGATTCTGGGCCACATTTGCCTCTGATGGCAAAGTCCTGCACATAAAGATGGAGGTGTAGATGGTCCCATTGGTCCTCTTCCTGCATCCTTCTATAAGCCAGAGGAATCCTGTGCAGCACTGAGCTTGGAAAGTCATGGTCCATTATTTTTTGTTGATTTGTTTTTTTTCCCTTTTTGGCAGCATCCATTTGTAACATTTGCTGAGCCTGCGTCCAGCCTGGTGCCGCTGATTGTTTCAGTGAAGAAGAGGAGGAAGACAACAACGTGACAACCACATCAGGACCATTTATTCATCCACCAGTTTAGAGTAGGATTGTAGGTTAGGATTAGGATTAGGATTAGGATTAGGATTTGGATTAGGATTAGGGTTAAGGTTAGGGTAATAGTAGGATTGTCTAATAGGACTGCAGAGTAGGATTGGAAATGAATACAGTTTCTGAAACCACAACTCACCTTGAAGTTTCTCTTCCTTCTCACTCTGCGAATACGCTCAAGAATTTCTTCTGAATTGTCTGTTGTTTCTCAAAGGTGGAAAGTGACACGGTGTCTTTGGCATGGTGTGAAAGTGGGGAAGAAGGATGTTCTTCATTCATCCTCTCCAGAGCACACTGCCTTTGGAATCTGGCCCACTGGCCTGTTTTTGGGCAGCTTTGGTATTTCTATTTGAGGCAGAAAAGGCAATGGCATTTGAAGGCAAAACCAAAAGAAGAATGAGGCAGCCCAAACACCCTGTGCAGATGCAGGCCTTCAGCTGTGACTGGAGAGCATTGGGGCCCCTGCCACTTGGATTTGTATCCCGAAATGCAATAATCTCTTTGGCTGGAGGAGAGCCTTGCTCAAGTGAGAAAGCAGAAAGATCAGAGAGGGTGCTCAGGAAGGTCTCCTGTGGTGCAGAGCTGTCAGCGCCTGGGAGGTGAGAGTGGGCCCGGCCTTGGCTGGGGTGGAGCCCCAGCAGAGCCCCGGCAGAGGCCGGAGCAGGCTGAGCCCCTGCAGAGGCAGGCTGGAAGGAGGCCCTTGGAGCTGCAAGAGGCAGCAGCCGGGCCCTGGGTGCCTGTTCCTGGCAGCCGGAAAATCCTCCGCTCTCAGAGCCCAGGTGGCAGCTGGCAGCTGCTGAGGGGAAGCGCAGCCGTGCTGGGCACAGCCCAGCCTGGAGGCATTGGCCCACTGGAGTGTGCCCAGCAGCAGAGAAAGGCCAAGGGCAGCCGAGGGCCGCTGGGCTGCCTGAGGATTCCTCCTCTTCTGCTGGCTGCCCTGCAACTCCTGGCAAAGGTCAGCAGTGTGTGCAGCACTCTGGGCACCGGGGCAGGGAGCCGGGCTGCTCAGCAGGCTGGAGCACAGGGCAGCCTCCTTCAGGCCGGCACTTGTGCCAGGGGAAGCGAGGCCAGTGTGAGGCAGGGACAGCTTGGCAGGGCACATCTGCAGCAGCCAGCGCCTCACGCAGCTCTGGGAGGAAGCGCCTGCAATCCTGCATTTCTGCACTGAGCCCGAGCAAAGGTGTGAGATGCAGAGTGTTTGGCAGAAATATTCAGGCCCACCAGGCCAGCCTGCTTTGTGCTCTCTGGCCCACAGCAAGCGCTGTGCAATGCAGCTCACACCTCTATTGCAGGGCTGTTCTTCTTCTCAGTAATCATCGCTCAGCTGTCTCTCACTGACATATTGCTGGCTGAAGACCTGTCTCTTCCATATCCCCTATAAAAAGACCTTACCCTAGATTCTCAAACTTAGCATGCATGCATGTTTGAAAAACAAAACCCCAAAAATCTTCAGGAAAATCAAGACATTAAAGCAGATTTCATTTATCAAACCCACAGAACTGCATTAAAATGTGGGTGTATGAGCCGTTCTTCAAAATTTTCTTAAGAATATCTCTAGAGTTATTTTTTAAACATAAGTATGCTGCCCCTAACAAGTCCAGATTACTTGGCAAAGGGTAATCAGTCATCCATTAAGCATTCCAGCAGTTGCTTAGCATTTTCTTCTGATAAGTGATCCCTGGATATTGCAACCAGCTTCTGATTTGTGTCTGCCCACTCCTTTCCATGTTCTGAGCCAAGAGCAATAGTACCATTGTGAGTGCATCTGAACACATTGGACACTGACACCCCATCCTATTGCCTAGGTTCTCCCATGGAAGATTCCTTGCTCTTTTTTCTCTGCCACCAAAGGGGATCTGCAGTCCCTGCCGGGCACTGCTCGCTCTGGGTTGTCAAGGCAGAGGCGATGCGCTGGTGCACTTGGCGCAGGTGAGCCTCGGGCCCGGGCAGGGAGCGATGCTCCGAGCTGCCGCGGATCCGGCGGCGAAGCCGAGCGGTGCCGTGGCCGGGCTGGGAAGCCGAGCGGCGCCCGTGGCGCTGCCTCCCCGGGCAGGGCTGGGCTCTCAGCGCCGCCGGGGCTGCCGAGCAGCGCTTTCCACGCGCCTCCGCCTCCGGAGCCAGCCCCGCAGCCGCGCTCTCCCGAACCGCACTGACCCGCGCCCGTTCTCGGCCCGGCTGCAGGACTCCGTGATTCCGGGCTCTCCGGGTTCCCAGTCCGCCTGCAGGAGCCTCCGCTCCTGGACTCCCCTCACTGGGCTCTCTTCTCTCATGTCTTTCCCCTCTTTCCCAGGCCCTCTCCACTCTACTCCGGATCTCCCCCCGTTCACAGGTTGTCCCCTGCCTCCTGGGTTCTGCCTCCTCTCTCGGCTTTTCCCCAGTCCCGAGCTACCCTTTGTCCCAAGCTCCCTCCTTTCCCGGGCTGTAGCCAGTGCTTTTATTCGTCTCCCTGGATCTGCCCTTCTCCCGATTACTCCTCCCTCTTCCAGGATCTCCCTCCTCTCCCAGGGCTCCTTCCTGTTTCCCCGTCTCTACCCTCCTGGAAGGCTACCCACCCTTTGCCACGGATCTCACCCCCGCCCCCGTCCCGTGATCTCCCCTACTCCCGGGCTCGTCCCGCTCTCCTGGGATTTTCCCCCTCCTCCCAGCATCTCTCCCCTCTCCCGCTCACTCCTCCCTCTGCCACGTCTCTCTCCCCTCTGCCGGGATGTCCGCCGGTTCCCGGAGCGCCCCATGCCCCCGGCCCCTCGCCGCCCGTCCCTCGCCGCCTCGGCCGGGCCGCTCCGGGGCCGCGCTCGGAGCGCAGCGGGGCCGGGCCGGGGCCGCCGGGGCCGCCTCAGCTCCGCCCCGCGGGATGAGCCGCCACAGCGCCCCGGCAGCGGCCCCGCGCAGGCGGAGCGGCCCCGGCTGCGCCCGGAGCTGGGCCTGGGAGGGGCTGCGGCCTGGGAGAGCTGCTCCGGGCTCGCTCCGGACACGAGCAGCTCCGACCTGTGCTCGCTTTGTACCCTCAAGGCTGCCGGATGCCTTGCAGTGAAGCTGTAGCCTCGAGCTGTTTGTTTTCCAGCATCAGTCTCATGACATGGTTGTTACAGTGGGAAGATGCCAGCAGCTCACATCCCTGGCAGGAGGCAATGAACTTAATGGTACAATTTACTTGAAAAGTTTTTTGACCACTCACACAAAGCAAAAGCATATTGACAGTAGTTCTGTGCAACCACTATAAGCACACGTAGCTTTTGTTAAAACACTGCTTGCTTCTTTCAAACACTATACCTGCTTGTAAGCCTTAAAACACAATGCACCGAGCTCCATTATTGTGATAAATAGGTATCATTCGTGCTGATAAAATTTGAAACAGTAATTGATATTGATACAGTAATTATATTTGAGAATAATAAATAGTTAAAAAGTTGTAATGCCAAAGAAGAGAGGGAGAGGAGGGGCTCCATCCCCCTTCCCAGCAGCTGTTCTCAAGGACCACAGGAAAGAAGCTGAAGATACAGGTGCTAAAAATGAGCAAGAACCTGGTTTGGTCAGAACAAATGCTAATTCTAAGGGATTTATTGCCTTGATATGTAGATGGAGTGATACGTTAGTCTTGGCTTACATTGGCTGTACTGGCTATATACTGGCTTGATGCGCATGTGTAACCCAAAGGTGAATTAAAGGACAACGAAGAAGACTACAGGGCCTTCATCAGTGACGACCCCCAAAGACTTGTGCGACCACCAAACTGAGTGGTGGCGCATGCGTGGTAAAGGTGGTGAGGAAGGCGGAGACAGAAAAGTGACGAACCGAAAATAGGAGGAGATGGTATTGACATATGGCGTATAAGGGGTGATTTTCACTTGGCAAGCTTGTACGTGAAGTGGCAAGGGTCAAGAACTCTGCCCTCCGTACCCCGCGGTATCTTTTGCTTATGTGCTATTATTTGAACCAAATTATCCCTTATTTATATATTTTTTAAACTATTCAATTAAAATAACTGCTACCTTAAATATTGGGGTTTTTTTTTTTTGATGGGATAATTGGGCAAATATTACAATTATTAAGCTTAGAAGTTCCTAATATCTTGTTAGGGATACTTTTCTGTAGCTCTGGGAGTCATTCCAGCCAAGCGTTAATACACTGGTGCGCCAGTATCAATCAAGTTAGAATGAGCAGCCCAGCTCAGCTCCATGGAGCAGCCTCTGGACTGACTGACAGAAGTTCCCAGGCAATGGGAGCTCTCCTAAGATGCAGACATTGCATTAGTTCAGAGTCTGGGGGCACAGAGATAGGCCAATGAGATGTCTCGTCCTGGGAGTTTGGAATGGGCTAAATGGGCTGTGGGTGTTGAAGGCAATAAACGAAGCTGTTTGCTGATGACCAAAGGGAGTTCTTTTGTGTCTAACACTATTAACATCGGTCAACATGTCACGGATTGCAGTGGATGTGCCATTAGTTTGTTTACTCAGCCAACATGCAACCCGATCTAATTGTTTCAATGCCATTGCTGAAGCCAGCTGGGGTAAAAACAAAGCTGCTGAAACCCTTTTTCGCAGCCTTCCAAGGCGTGAAATCACTTCTACAGTTTTCACGATAATGACGACCAGATCTTGTTCCCCTTTGCTTTTTCCTAATGACCGCTTTGGCAGTAGGCGCAATTACAGTGAGCATCCCATTGCTACATGGGCCACCTTCAGGGCATGATGGGATGCCCTGCCAGGGCCTATCTACACAGGTGAACCAACATCCTTTTGGTAATTGTCATGGATATTGGTCAGCTTTAGAAAGCACCTCCCAACATTCCTAATAATTACACCAAAACCTTGAGTTTCTGTATACAAAATAATGGGGAGTAACATTGTACTTTGGAGGATCACCTTCTCACTAATCATTAGCTGTAAATGTAAGGCAAAAATCCATTGTTAAAGGACCAAGGATTTCTAATTCTTGGGGTTCAGGTACTGCTTTGGGAAGTTCTTTTTCCCAGATGTTACAAGCCTTTACAGGGCTCCTCCCATTGTCAATTTCGCCAGGCTTACTATTGAATTGCTTTTTGACCAACGGGCAAATTCTTTACTGGCACACTGACTAGTCAGGTTGAGAAAGGCTTTTCTGTTCCGAATTAGACAAAGACATGGTATCCGAGCCTGCTGCCTTGGCTAAGGTCACCCAGACATTTGGTTTTGGTTGTTGCACAGACAAATCTACACTACAAATTGACTAAAACTCTGCACTATGAGAAGCAATCAAAACTGACACCGTAGTAACATTTGATTTTGCAGCATCCTTTTTGTGAGCTAATTGTTGGCTAAAGCTCCTCCCATATCCTTCTCAATTCAAAAACATTACTTTTGACCTTTAATAAAAATTAACCAAACAAAACCTACACTTATTCCAATAGAGCTCTACGAAACCAACAAGTGACACATTTATAAACCACATAAAATCAGAGTTTGCAGGTTCCACCAATGCACAAGGAACGTCAGGTGTGACCCGTGATCCCTCTGTTTGGCTCACGTCTGTGTACTTGCTTCTACAGTCTTGAGCTCGTCAACTGTCCTGGGGTGCGATATGGTTTGACATTTTTTGCTGGGACCCACTTAATTCCTGCACCTGTAGAGAAAGAAGCAAACACTTGGTCCAAAGTGATTAATGAAAAAGGACCTTCAATTGGTGCTGTCCCAGGGTTTCTAATTAAAAAAGGAGGATTTTCTTTCAGTTTTGCCTGTGTGTTATTGTAAAAATGCCTAGAAATCGGTGGATCAGGTTCTGCAACAGAGCTGTTTAAGAAATTAAAACATGCAAAGCTTTGTTTAACCTCATCTGTGGTGTGACCTCCACTCCCCCCTCTCTTGATCAAGAATGCGTTTTAATGTCTGATATGTCCTCTCAGCAACTGCTTGGTTGTGGGAGAATGTGGAATACCAAGGATATGACAAACACCCCAATCTTTAAAAATGTGGCCAATTTTTGAGATACATCTGTGGGATCATTGTCAGTTTTTTCTTCTTGGGGCACACCCAGTGAAGCAAAAGCTCTGCTAAAAATGTTGACAGGCATGATTACCTGCTTCCACTTGATGCCGAATTTTGCCCCAAAAGGCGATAATAAGCTGCCCAGAGACTAGATTTGAGGTCTATAGGCAGGAGGTATTTATTGACAACGCGTTGGAGAAATCACCAAGTGGATTTCTGAATTAGGTACAGCAAAAGCAGGTTTTTATACAATTTTGAACAAGATTTACATCATTTATTACATGCATATTCATAGGCAGGTAGGAATATAGGCGGAGTCTTCCGGGAACTCTTGGTCTTCCTTGGTTAAATTTTAAGCTTCTCCTAATTTGGGCATTTTCCTGTCATCCTTGGCATGTTTTTCCATGACTTGGCAGAAATCACTGTTGCACTTGGCTTGATTCTGACGGCTTGGCAGGTCACCTTAACTTTTTGGCTTCTACTTTCGCTTCTTCAAATATTCTAATTCCAAAGTTTCTTTTGTGAGTGTATTTTAGATTATTTATTAACTTATCTAATCAAAGTTTTCCCAAACAATGTATTTTAGGTTATTTATTAACTTCTGTGTTTCCCTTGATAGAGTGTCTTTTAATTCTTTTATTCCTCAGATCTTTTAATTCTTTTATTCCTCGGAAACTACTGTTCATTGTAATGAATGGCTTCACACTGTGTGAAGACAAGCAAAAACTCCACCAGAGTATGTGTCCACTGAAACATGAGTATTGGTAAATTTACCAAAGGAAGGCTATTTAGTAACATCCATTTGCCATCAGTGCTGGCTTTGCAAACCCCGTGGGTTGAACAACTCTATCTAGAAACAGGAGGCTGCACAAGCTGACAGTCAGGGCAAGTACTAATGATAGCATTACCTTGACTTTTGGAAATTTGAAACATTCGCACAGCTGGTTGTGCGTTTTGGTGAAAAAAGGCATGACTCTGTTTTGCTTGTTCCAAAATGTTTGGCAAAGTGTTTGAAATAAGCACTGTGCGTTTGTCCGCTCTCGCGTTTCCTTCCACGAAAAATCCAGGAAGCGAAGAATGAGCCCTGATGTGAGAAACAAACTGTGGATTAGTTCCTTATTGTAAAGTTGTAAAACGCCTTGAAAGCCAATGATATCAAGTGTCATTACTAGGATTCTTTAGAACTGATCCTTCTATTCTTTTAACCACATTAGCAACAAAGGCAGAATGTGTGAATAAATTAAAAGGTTGTGGGAAGAACTGAGAAGCCTGAACCACAGCAGCAAGCTCAACCATCTGAGCAGATCCCTCTACTATTTGAATATCTGATTCCCAAGTTTTAGTTGGGAACTTGGTTTGGTTCAACCAAGTAATGACTGATTTGTGACTTCTGCCAGATCCCATCAGTGAAGAGAGTTATTGTGTTTAAAGGTTCTTTACTTAACAAAGGTTGCTCTCTAAAACTCAATTTTGCCTGCAACAATTTGTGAGCCAGGTAATGAACAGAAGCAATATCTGCAAAATTTAATAATTCTCGTTGCAAATCATCAGAATTTGCAGAATTTTGCATTGCCCAATCAAGATACTTTTTTTCAGTGGTAAATAGAGAACTGCAAATTCTTCACCTGCTCAACTTAATAACCTTGTTCTGGCCTTAATCAGAATTTGTGTTATCCTCTCTAAGACTGTAAAAATTGTCTTTAAAAACCTTGAGGGAAGAAAACCCCATTCTATTTTCAACAAAGGATCTCTCTCAGAAGGGTCTGATTGAAAAATGACAGAACAAAGTTGCATCTTTCCTCCTAAAATTGCAGAAAAGAATGGCTTTTCTGGAATACAGCGATGAGCTTGTTGTCTTTGGAGAGCCTCTATGACCTCGTCATGCGCTGCACGAGCTTCAGGTATTAGAGTTCAGGGGAGTTGATGGCGCAGCTTCCTCTCAACAAATTAAAAAGTGGACCCAATTCATCGTACGTGATTCCCAAAACAGGTCTGACCCAATTGATTTCTTCTAGAAGCTGTTGTAAGTCTTGCAGGGTGTTGACACTGGTCTGGAGCTGTATCTTCTGCAGTGTAATAGTTTTTTCAGTCATCTTCCATCCCAGATAGTTCCAAGGTGGAACTTCTTGAATTTTGGGTATGGAAATTTTAAGTCCAGCATTTTGGATTTCAGTAGCAACACTAGGAAAACTTGCTCCATCTCTGGTTTCGTTGGAGCTGTGATGAGCAAATCATCCATGGAGTGTGAAATCACGTATCGTGGATACTTCTGTCGAACTGGAGAGAAAACTTGTGCAACAAAATATTGTCAAATTATAGGCGAATTCTTCATTTCTAGAGGCAATGTTTTCCAGTGCTATTTCTGCATGGGTTCTCTTTGATTGATGACTGGAACTGAAAAGGCAAATCTTGGAGTGTCATCGGGATGAAGTGGGATGTGGAAAATGCAATTCTTTAAATCAATGACAATGAGGCACCAGTGTTTTGGGATCGTTGATAAAGAAGGAAGTCCAGATTGAAGAAGTCCCTTGTCTTCAGTCACTACATTGATCTTCATGTCATGAAACAACCTCCAGGAGTCCAATGCCTTCCTGTGGATGACGAATACTGGTGAATTCCAGGGACTCTTTGTGGGTGTGATGTGACCTTCTTGTAATTGCTCCTTTACCAATCATTTAAGGCTATTTTATATTTTGTTTGTAAATGCCATTGATCAATCCATATAGGAGGATCAATTTTCCAGTTCAGCTTTCAAGTGGCAGGTTTTGACGTGGTTTCCACCACAGGCCCACCTCCAGTTCTGCTCCCCATTGGGACAGGACGTCTCTCCCCCAGACGGTGAGAAGCTTC